AAGACGATCAGATACCGTCGTAGTCTTAACCATAAACTATGCCGACTAGGAATCGGACGATGTTAATTTTATAATGATTCGTTCGGCACCTTACGGGAAACCAGTGTTTGGGTTCCGGGGGGAGTATGGTCGCAAGGCTGAAACTTAAAAGGAATTGACGGAAGGGCACCAGTAGGGGTGGAGCCTGCGGCTTAATTTGACTTAACACGGGGAAACTCACCAGGTCCAGACATAGTTAGGATTGACAGATTTGAGTGGTGGTGCATGGCCGTTCTTAGTTGGTGGAGTGATTTGTCTGGTTAATTCCGTTAACGAACGAGACCTAAACCTGCTAAATAGTTAGTCCCTCTTTCGGGAGGGTCGCAACTTCTTAGAGGGACTATCGGCAATAACAGGTCTGTGATGCCCTTAGATGTTCTGGGCCGCACGCGCGCTACACTGATAAAGTCATCAAGTTCTTTCCTTCACCGGAAGGTGTGGGTAATCTTTTGAAACTTCATCGTGATGGGGATAGAGCATTGCAATTATTGCTCTTCAACGAGGAATCCCTAGTAAGCGTGAGTCATTAGCTCACGTTGATTACGTCCCTGAATGGCTTAGTGAGACTCTCGGATCGGGTTTTAGGAATCGGCAACGGATCCTTTCTTCTGAGAAGTTTGTCAAACTTGGTCATTTAGAGGAAGTAAAAGTCGTAACAAGGTTTCCATAGGTAGGATCATTAGAAATTTTTTATGTATTCAAAATTTCTCTTGGCTCTTGCATCGATGAAGAACGCAGCGAAATGCGATAAGTAATGTGAATTGCAGAATTCCGTGAATCATCAGGTTGTCATAATAATATCGTTTTTTTATAATAAAAAAAACGGATCTGAGTTTTCTAAGGTTTTTTTTATAACTTTGGTAACTTTAAATTTATCTTAACGATATATTAGTATATATTGGAAATGTTTATCTTGTAATACAATTTTTTTTTTTCAAACCTCAAATATGTAATAAACTCATCACGTTGCGGCTAATAATAAAAAATTTGGCTGAAAGAAGGTTAGCAAGTATTCAAAACCAGTCAGAGCAAAATCATCTCAAAAGCTATAACTTAATCGCCATAAGAATCATAAGAATCACAACAGTACTGTATCATGTGAATCAATTACTTTACGCGAATTTTCTACAATTATTACTGGATGGAGTCACGTGTACTTTATAACTGAAGCGATCGTAGAAATTACGTGATTACTTGTTCGAGTTCGTGACGTATTTACGACAGCATTAAGTAACGGTTTAAAAATATTATTGCAAATACTTGTTTTATTTATAATAAATTTAACAATATAAATAAAGCGCTAGTTAAAGTATTATAATAAGACTGCTAATAATTTCGACTTAAGCTTGGTCGTTTTTGTCAAACTTCCGAGTCTTCAGTGGCGCCTCTTTGCTTTAAAAGGTGTATATTCATTGAATCCAATCCCATCACGTTTTGAATATATGCTTTAGAGATCCATAACATATTTTGACGTGAAGTCCAATGTAAAGTGACATGTGACTTTTGATCGTCTATTTTTTTTATATGCCACAAACGAATGACTTTATCAGAACCACCCGTTACTAAAAGATCACCCGCTTTTGTATTCTTCCAATCAAGACTATAAGTCATTCCAGGAAAATACATAATGGCTACGCAGTTACCAGATACCGTAGACCACAGTCGCACCGTATCGTCTGAGCTGCACGATGCCAGTTGAGTGCCATCAGGCGAGAAGGTCACACTCCGGACGATACTAGTATGTCCTTCTATAATGCGTGGATTCAAATCTAAATTCTCGAGTGACCACAGCCGCACCGTCGTATCAAAGCTGCCCGATGCCAGTTGCGTGCCATCAGGTGAGAAGGTCACACTCAAAACGATACCAGTATGTCCTAGAATGCGTGGATTTAGATCCAAATTCTCGATCGACCACAGTCGCACCGTCTTGTCATTGCTGCACGATGCCAGTTGCGTGCCATCAGGTGAGAAGGTCACACCCCGGACCAAACTAGTATGTCCTTTTAGAATGCGTGGATTCAGATCTAAATTCTCGACCGACCACAGCCGCACCGTCTTGTCTTCGATGCCCGATGCCAGTTGGGTGCCATCAGGTGAGAAGGTCACACCCCGGACCAAACTAGTATGTCCTTCTAGAATGCGTGGATTCAGATCTAAATTCTCGATCGACCACAGTCGCACCGTATTGTCTTCGCTGCACGATGCCAGTTGCGTGCCATCAGGTGAGAAGGTCACACTCAAAACGAGACCAGTATGTCCTTCTAGAATGCGTGGATTTAGATCCAAATTCTCGATCGACCACAGTCGCACCGTATTGTCTAAGCTGCACGATGCCAGTTGCGTGCCATCAGGTGAGAAGGTCACACTATAAAGAGGATAAATATGTTCTTCTAGAATGCGTGGATTCTGATCTAAATTCTCGATCGACCACAGTCGCACCGTATTGTCTTCGCTGCACGATGCCAGTTGAGTGCCATCAGGTGAGAAGGTCACACTATTAACATCATCCTTGTGTCCTTCGAAAGTATGTATTTTTTCTAACGTTTCGACATTGTAAAGGTAAATTTTCATTCCACTAGCAACGGCAAGAGAACGTCCGTCTGGGGAATAACAGCAGTAACGACACTCGTCCCCAAGATCTAAAAAAGGAAATTCACCGAATTGCACGCCTGTCATATTAGCACCACTAAAATCTGCATATTGTAACCACGCTCTTTGAAAATTAACATTAATTAAATTTGCTTCTTTAAATTGAGTACAGTGAAACAATCCATAACTTAAATCCGCACCGGCGATATGAATTCCATTTAAATTCTTGCCACTAAATGACACTCCAGCTTTATTCAAAATTGTGATTGCATTTGCTGCGGCGATTTTGAGATCAGTGTCTTCCTTTGATTTCTCAATAAAGTTGAAGAGATTCTCCTTAAATTTATTAATCTGTTTTGCATCTTTTAAACTCCCACCCTGTTTCACGTACTCGATTAGAAAACGAATGATCCCGTGATCATCTAGTATTGAAATTTCTTCAAATAGTATGGAGCTAGCTTCTTTGTAAATCGACTCATAGATTGCTCGGGCAACAAAGTATTCGAATAAAGATTTGTGGATAAATCGGTATTGATCACCATTGCGACTTAAAGGAGAGTTGTAACGTAAAAGTCGGTTTTCCGGATCTCTATATCCAAAGAATCTAACACGCCAATCGGTATTATTTTTTGCGTTATCTGCGTCTGAATATGTTACTACCACCTCCTTAATCTTAAACATTTCAACCGCCAAATCTTTATTAAATCGCATACAATGTCTCGTAAAATTACTCTCATCTAATATTTTGAAAGCTTTCTTTTCTTCTTCTTCTAATTGGATGAGACTTAGACGGTTTTGGGATCGTTCAAACCATTTTTCCACAAACTCATTGTATAAGGTTAAGCGTGTTATATTTTTTGTCGAGTTCTCATTCTCCAAGTGCGGTACGACTTGAATAGCAATCTTTAAGATAAAGGGATTACTCAATAACTGATCTGAATCAGGAACACTATTTAAAACGGCTTCATATTTTTGCGCATCCCATATCTTGTCCTTTTTTTTTTCGACGTACTTTCTAGCATATTCTCGAATTTGTTCTCTAGAAAAAGGTGCTAGCGATATTTCTTGGAAGGAATTATAATTTCCACGAGGTATAAATTTGGATTTATAATTTGCACTTAAATACTCCGGCCGACAACTAATAATAACTTTGGCA